AAAGGGCAGGGTGGGACCCCCAAACTGAGCATGAGGGGGCTGGGGAGTGGGGGATGATGTGGAAAACGGGGAGAGAGAGGAAAATGTGGGGGTTGGAACCCCTAGACTGATCTGGGAGGGGCTGGGGATTGAGGACCATGAAAAATTGGAGGGAAAAGGGAGAAGGGTGGAAAACGGGGGGGTGGCCTGGCTGGTCTGATGGTCCCATGGGGGTGTTTGGGCACAGGGGGCTGGGAAAGGGTGGTGCCCGCCAGAGCTCCCAACTGACTGTGGGGTGCTGGGGCTGCTGGATCCAATCTCAGCCTTGGGTTATGCCAACACTTTCAGTTTAGAGGAATTACAGAGGTGGGACTGAACCACTTTTGTCCCCCAGGGTTTAATGATGGCCATTCAAATCTATTGAAAGAAATGAATTATTTAGGGTTACAAATGATCAGACTAAAGATCTTCATCTGAATTATTTACTGCACAATAGAAACACTAAAACTACCACTAGTACAGCATAAGATAGGACAGTGCTCTACACTAAAGCAATTGTTGAAGCAATTCTACTCAAGCTGGCACCAAAGCAAGAATTATTCATTAGAGAGGGATGGAACTCCCCCAGACCAACGCTCGGGGGGAGATCTCTGCCCTCAACCTCCAGCACTGACCTTGGGGGGTCCCAGCCAAGGCAGGAATCTCCACACACCCCCCAAGAAGGGTTCTGTTGGCACAACCTGCCCCTGGCAAAGGGGACTGGCCCTTTCTGGTACAAAAGGATGGACTGACAGTCCCTGGACTCCAGGGGTTGCCTCACCATCAGGGGGGTCATTCGGGGTGGGAGCAGCAGCTGAAGCTCTCCCTGCAGTCGGGGCATTCGTAGGGTCTTCCCTTACTGGTGGGTCCGTTGGTGATAGGTCAAGGTAGAGCTGTGGGAGAAGCTCTTCCCACACTCCCCACACTTGTAGGGCCTCTCCCCAGTGTGGATGCGCCGGTGGGTGACGAGGTGGGAGTTGTGTTTGAAGCCCTTCCCGCAGTCGGTGCAGCGGAAGGGCCTCTCCTCTGTGTGTGTCCGCTCATGCAGGAGGAGATTGGAGCTGCTCTGAAACCTCTTCCCACATTGCAAGCACTTGTAGGGCCGTTCCCCAGTGTGGATGAGCTGGTGGGTGTGGAGGTGGGAGCTGTCCCTAAAGCTCTTCCCACATTCCCCACACTTGTAGGGTCGTTCCCCAGTGTGGATACGCTGGTGTCTGATCATGCTGGAGTTGTGCCGGAAGCTCTTCCCACATTCCAAGCACTTGTAGGGCTGTTTCCCAGTGTGGATGCGCTGGTGTGGGATCAGGGTGGAGCTGTCCCTGAAGCTCTTCCCACATTCCCTACATGTGTAGGGCCGTTCCCCAGTGTGGATGAGCTGGTGCTTGCGGAGGGTGGAGCTGTAACTGAAGCTCTTCCCACATTCCCCACACTTGAAGGGTCTTTCCCCAGTGTGGGTACGCTTGTGTTTGATCAGGTTGGAGTTCTCCCTGAAGCTCTTCCCACATTCTCTACATGTGTAGGGCCGTTCCCCAGTGTGGA